TCTATAATTACAAATACAAGAAAAAGGTGTCAAATTAAACCTAACCCAATTATAAATCATTTTTGTTTTCAACGTTGCAGGAGCGCCATTCGAATTAGTCAAACTTAATCTTGATGAAAAATAACCATATAAGCCCGATCCTTCAGAAGCCCAGACCAAATCCAGCTCTTTAATAATCAAAGTCCAAAATCCATTTGAACTCTACCTAACCTTTAACGGGACCCAAAATCTATTTGGACTCCACTTCTGACACGTGGCATAAGTAAATGCACCAGAATTTGTCTTCTTCCCTTACCATGAGCTCAGGCACACCAGATTTTAGCCTTGATTGCCTTTCAATTTCAATTGCATGGAGTAAACCGTGGTCATTGGATTTTTTTTTTGAAAATAGGTAATGAGTGGTCATTGGATCTTTGCCTTAAACCCGTGGTATCATCACAAAATTTATTAATTGTGGGGTAAGCACTAATATGTTGAGGCAAATTGGAAAACACTAGCTTGTTAGCAGCACTCCCTTTATGTATCATCCTGTAATTAGAGAAATTAAAACAAGATTTTTAAATTCCTTAATTATAATTTTGATTGAATTTTCATCCAAACATGTATGCCAATAGAAATCAAATAGGATACAACAACTATGAAATTTTCACATGCTTCCCTTTCATTATCTACATTTTTTTTGACATTGCAGATAATTTTTTATCCTTAAAATGATTCAATTACCATATATTTTATATGATAAATTTTAATAAACTATAAATATGTGATGAAAATAATTATACATTTTCAATAATTTCAATAATTACAATCACGATAAATCATATGCATAAAAAATATAACAAGTAACACATAACAACACTCAATAGACTTCACAATATAAAAAAGTTAAAATCAATTGCAACAGTAACATAGTCATTTACACTTTCTTTCATATAGTTTAGCCAATTTATTCCAAACATCTTTGGCTGATTTGTACTTCATCCGAGCGAAAATCGTAGGTACACATGAGATTTGAAGTGCGTGTAAAGCTGCAGCATTCTTTGTCCTCCAATTAGCAGTAGCCTCGATCTTCATCAATAAAAGGCAGCACATCACTAGATTCAATAACATCCCAAAGATTAATTGCCAGGGATCATTTTCCTCCCTAAGACTACTCATTCTGCTCCACATCATTTTTCCTTGCAAATTTCTTCTCTATCTTCTCTATTATTGAGATTGTCATTCTTCTTATAAAGAATCTTTTCCTAATAAAGATTCCAGATCCATAAGTTGACTGTAAAATCTCAATAAGAAGCCGAGATTGCAATAACAAAAAGACAATCACCGGAATGCTGGCAAACAGAACTAGCGAGTTGATTACCCACCATCGTCCCTGTAACATGATTGAAACAGTAGCACAAAAAGCTACCATCATTGCTGTAATAGAGATGAGGAGTGTGCAAATGCCGATAATCAACTTGGTTGGCAATGACTTCAGAAAATCTTCTTCAGCATACCGAGATGTGAGGATTCCTAAGAACATCAAAACTGAAGTGCATGCACTGAACAAAGAAATTGCATCTGACAACATAAACACCATAAATAATCTGTTAAGTAAGAATATGGGGAAACCAGTATCTTGATTGTTACCGCCGGGAATAGTAAAGCCTGCAGCAAACATAATAGTGATGATAAGGGCACCAACTACAGTATAAGATTGAGCTGTTTGCTTCATCCATTCTTCCCCTTCTTTTGCCAATTGCTTGTGATCCCTACTAAACACTTGCTGAGGAGTTTCTCCATTACGATTAACAAATTCTTTACACTCCGGAACAAGAGTCTCTAGCTCCTACATTCATTTGAAAATAACACGTATCATACATTAACGGATGCTGAAGATACACCATATTCATTATGGTAAAACCACCTATCTTACATATATAAGACTTTACTAACTAACCCAATTAGATTAAATTAACTGTCATGATAAAGTAATGTATGAGACAAGAATAGGATTATAGTTCAATATAAATTGATAGGAAAGAGGTATGAAATGAGAGATGATGACCTTGAACCATCGTAATTCTCTTTGCATCTTCAAAGCAGGACCAGAGATTCGAGTTAGAAAAGAGTTAGGAGCTAACTTCGCTGCCATATGTAGCACATTATTGTTGTCCTTATCTCTGTAAGCAATGAGAAACATCTTATCCCCGGAAAGATCTTCATTGTGAAAAAATTTTTCTTGACGATATTCAATTGCATGCATGAACGCATCCCTTGAATTTTCATCAGCACTTGCAAGTAAATCTGGACAACATGCACCTATTACATTGAAAAACTCCGTTATGCCATGCTGGACAGCTTGAAAGAATGCAGGGATAGCTCCACTCTCAATGAGCTCTCTTGCATTTAATTTTGATAATTCACAACTTATCCCATGCACAATATATTTGGCATGTTCATGGATCAGCTTTTGTTCGTATATGTGCTTCATTCCTGAGTCAAAAATGAATATGAAATGAAGAGTTACCGGCCACAATAAGTTCTGAAAATGAATGAAAGAAAAAAGGAAAAAGGAAAGGGTTTAATTAACTGCAACAAGTCTTCATACCTGATAACTTTAGGAGGATTGAACTCAACCCCTGTCGTTTATCTGGCACTGCAACATTGAAACACCATTTTGCTAACTTATGCATTGATAATATTCAGGTAAAACCAGAAACTTTCATTCAAACTGTAGAAGAGTATATTTATTTCACTTATTTTGCTTTGGGCCCTGCATTTCGGTAAATATCAGGAGAAAAAAAAAAAAAGAAAAAGAAAAAAGAGAGACAAGGTGCATATGTCCATTGGATGTCGATCCGTCAAATGAATACAGCCTACCATTGGCGTACCTTGCGTTTTCACGCTATCTTGTTCGATCTCCACATTATAAGTCGGACAGAATGCAACTGGCGGCTCCACCTTTATACCTGCAATAACAACTGATTAAATAAAGTGCAAGAGAGAGTAAAAGGGAAGGAATCGGAAATAAAAACATATTATTTGACTTAATTAACTATATATACTGTTAATGAAATCTAAGTAAAGATTTTCTTTCACTACATATTCAGCTAATTAATAGTAGCAATCCAAACCTAGGACTAACTGATCAAAGCATCAAAAAACTTTATCTTATGAATAGAATTAGTAAAATTCAAATCCAAATTTAAAATCCGATTATATATTTTAATAAAATTAGTTTTTAAATTTAAATATTAATATTTAATAAAATAAAATTTAAAATTTTGAATTGAGTTTTGAATAGATAAAACAATATAATTTAAGATTGATTTCTAATTTATTTTGAGAGATGAAATTGATATTTTTTTTCTCATATATATATATATATATATATATATATATATCCCAAATCCCTATTGAGCCATAGGGCAATTTATGAGGTTAATTACATTACTGAATATGGTTATTTCATTGTTACTCCCAAAAATCAACTTAAAATAATTTTTTTAATCTTAAGTTATATAATAAGAAATAACTTTTTTCCATCTCTTTAACCTATTTAAATCACCTCACCGACTCGCATGTCATGTAATTTGAATATAAGACTTTTTACAACAAAATTAATACTAAGTTACTTACACTACTAGAAAACAGCATATAATCGACAAAAATATAATCGACAGTCAAAAAACTGTCGATTTTACTTATATTATCGACAAAAACTCTGTCGATTATAATAAAGTATCGATTATATAGGTATAATCGACAGCCATTGTGGCTGTCGAATATACTAACTATAATCGACAGAAATGGCTGTCGATTATACCTAATACAATTTCATATATTTATATATTTAGTAATAAA